AGTTTCTAATTTGTTTGAAACTGTAGACTTAGTATTTTGACTTCACAAACATCTAATTTGAACCAGTGTTGCATTCAACATATCATGTGACACACAAAAATCAATGTTTATCTGTGTTTTTTTTATATTTGCTTTTAAATAAAGAAATTGAGTAATTTATAGTAATAAAACTTGAATTATTATCTACAGTTTGATACCAAAGTTATTGACATAAATTCATGAAATGGTAGTTCAATAAAATTTTGAATGCGAGTCAACAAATAAGATGACATGACCTTTCACCTGTGACCCCTCTCGAAAGGGTTATTAGATGAAAACTTTGTCTTTCTATTGGTTCTAAATGATATAGTATTTAATATAAGAGAGAACTATTAACAAATCCTAAAATAAAGGATATGACAGGTGGGTGTGGCAAGAGGGGGCTGTAACCGAACAAGTTTGAAGGCTATAAAAATTATGCTTTATTTGAATGATGATGATTTTATAGTGAGTAATTACTTTAAGTTTTGTTCTTATTGGAGGGGTGGTGAATAAATTGGAGAAGAGGGGATGCCTAGAGAATAAAATCTCACATTGATGATGATTTTATAGTGAGTAATTACTTTAAGTTTTGTACTTATTGGAGGGGTGGTGAATGAATTAGAGAAGAGGGGATGCCTAGAGAATAAAATCTCACATTTCTCACCCTAGGGGAAATTCAGCATTTTTTTAAATATTGCATTATAACATTTAGAACTTAAAACTTGTATATTATTAACATATGGATTATTAGCTTCAATTTTTTTTATACTAATAGGTATAACATAAACAAAAAGTAGTTTAATTAAATTTTGAATACAAGTCACTAAAAACATTGTCACATACACAATAAAGGATGCCCAAGCATAGAGGGTTAAATGAATATCAGTCGGTTTTCTGGTAAAACTATTTTGTCTCATTTTCTCTGCACTGATGGTACCTATAGTGAAATCTTTAATGTACAATGAAATAAAAGATTTGAAAAATACTAGGTAAAATTAATATAATTTTTCTCCCTCTCTGCTGTTAATCAAAAAGTTCCAAATGCTTATCTTAATTGTTAGCCTTTCCACATCTGTTTTCTTTTAATTTTATGGTGTTATTGCTGTACTTTGTACCCTTTGGAGCAGTAACCTTCATGTCAAAGACATTAAATCACAATGGGAACCCATCAACTATTTCCTATAGAACTGACATAATCACCACATGATTGGCGAATGTAATGTCTCACAGAGAGATTGAGCTCTTGAAATTTTAGACATTTTATTTTACTGAAATTTTGTGAGGATAAGCTGAGCAATTTCTAATTTTTATTTCATTACTTTGTTAAAAATATATTACAATAAGTAAGCATAAAAACAAAGATTTGTAGCATCTACTGCATACTTGTGCTCTTTTGCCCTTGAGTAAACATTTTCAATATTCTTCTGTAAACCTTGTTGAGTCTCATAAATTTTGGTGTAAAAAAATTTGTTTAGCTTTAGAAAACAAAAAATATATCAGTTGCTAGAATAGAATGTCCTAAAACTTCTATAATTTATCCATCTTTTTAAGTAAGCTATAAAAAGGTGGAGAAAATACCTTTAACATTCGGAGCATCAAAATATGAGGTAACCATAACCAAGCAATATCACTGACTAATGGTTTATGGCATAGAAATTAAAGAAAGACAAGATTTGTGTGAATATGCTCTTTCTGTCGGTTATAATCATGTCCATCAGCTGTGCAAGGTTTATTAGCAAACACTAGAAAGAGGGTAGGAGGTTCAAAGTTTAGATTTTTATTTGTAATTATGTATAATAATTTTTGTTGAAAGGAAAAGGAAATGAGGGGGCCTGACTTAATGCACATGTGCTGAGATAGCTGCTGCTTGCTAAAGTTTTGCAGTCAGTCAAACTGACTAGTGACTTCAGTCTTTGTTGGTTAAATAGCTTTGGAACCAGTCTGTGACTGGTATTTACCAGTTAATAGAAATGCTGACTAATTGATGTGATCAAAGCTTATATGTAACCAGTTATCTATTAATTGAGTTAATCGACTAATTTTTGTTAGGTATTGTTTTGTGGGTTTTAAAATCTAAGTTAGTGATCCTTTTTTTGCTTGGAAAAGATGTTTCAATATATATTTATGCAGTGTTAAATATAATGGTATTGGGTTATTTTCAGATGGACTAGTTAGTGTAACTGTGAGGGTATTGGTAAGTATAAATTTGTGTACTTGTACATATATTTGTATTTTGGTTTTAATTAATATTCAAGTTTCTTTTGTTAGTGGAATGGCAGCAGCTAAGTCCAACCATCCAGAAAAAACTTGTGGGGGAGAGAAGCCTTTTTCAGAAGAAGAAACAAATATTGAGGAAAATCTGCAAACAATTAAAACAAATCATGATGAAGCATATATTTATGTGTCACAGGGAATTACTTATGAAGAAGAAGGACACCCTTATATGGCCAAGGAAATGTATATTAAAGGTTTAAAAAAACTTGAGAAGGCAATTAATGTCCGATGTGACCGACCATATTGTGCTGGTCGTCAGTGGAATGATGCACGGAAGATGCAGCAGAAGATGAGGCAAACCATATCAGAAGTAGAATCAAGGATTAGAGTTTTAACAAAATTGCCACAACCAAGTTCCCTCAGTCTAGTGAGTGAAGATAATCTTCCATCATATGAAGAGGCTTGCCCATTGGTTCCAGTCTCCTCACCTTCAACTAATATAAGTAAAAATCATGACATTTCTGATGTCTCCATTTCATTATCTGAAAGTATGCTTGATGGTGAGTTGGGAGAAGTTGCAGATGATATACAAGTTGAAGCTGAGAGAGCTGAAGAGCTATTTTCTATACCTGGAGGAGTACAGTTATTTTGTGTGTCACCAGAGGGCTATGTTAGTGTACCTTCAAGCCCTACTTGTTTATACATATACAAATTTACTGCTTCTGCTTCAGGTCAGGCATCCACCCGACCTCCAGCCTGGCTACAAATTGGGAATTGGAGTTACCCGTTGCTACCTGGAAAATCACCAGTTCTTCATAGTGGCTTTGGAGCCTTCATGTTCCCTGATGTCACATCACGAGAACAAAGTATGTTCAGTCATTTATATAAGCTGTATTGGTTGAGTGTCATCAAATACTTACCCTTTCGCAATGGGCTTGGTATAAAATACACGAGTTCTTATACACATTTGCACACGTTAAGTATTTATACTATAATTTTTAATGTTGAATTTATATTTTCACAAAATTTGTTAGACTTTTAGTCGTGATTCCAAGTCTTTTGTACACAAAAAATCAGATTTTTTAATGAAGTATTTTCTACTAATTGATTTGTTTGTGAACATATCTAGTCTTGTTTCATTACTAGTCTAAGTGAAAAGTGATTTTCATGTTATGATTAAAAACTATTCTTCATTCCAAAAATCTCAAATATTACTTGTGTAATCTTTACAGCCTTCTAAATACATTTCAAATGTTTGTTTTATATTATGTCTGTTATTTTCTCTACCCTAACTATATGGGGTCTGTCAATTTGACCAACCTCGTAATCACCATAAAAAATTAGGAAATATATATAAATTATATTTTTTTGTTTCTAGAATAACTACAAATTATAACCAAAACATAAATGTGTAGTCTAAATAGCTTAAATCTCATAACATTATACATTTATATATATATTCATTTGAAATAACCAAAAATTATAAATTACTATATCAATACCATATAAATCCTCTGGAATTTATCAAACTTAGTAACTAAGTTGTATTTGGGTCTAAAAAAATAAGAACTTTACCAGCATGGAGATTTCTATCGAAATAATGTAATGACGTCTTAACAGTTAAAAATGGCTGAGAAAGCCACTAGGTGGACATTCTGAGCTTTCGATTGGTTATTCGCATGTCATATACAGAAGTAAGTGTATATAAGGGACTGTTTCCAAAAATGAAAAGAGGTGAGCAAGGCCACCGTGTTTAATTTAGTACCTGAGTGATATCTCAGTAAATAGAAAAGATGTGAGGTTCTTATTTTATACTCTAGGTTGTTAATATTGGTAATTTGAGTTCCTAATTCATACAAAACTATAGACTTTGTATTTTGATATTATTAACATATAATTTGAACCTGTGCTACATTTAACATACCACATGACACACACAAACATTGAAGTTTAGGTGATTTTTTTATATTTACTTTTAAATTAAGAAATGAGCTAATGTATAATACTAAAATTGGAATTATAATCTATAGTTTGGTACCAAATTTATTGACATAAATTCATAAAATAGTAGTTCAATAAAATTTTGAATGCAAGTCAACATGGCCTTTTACCCATGACCTGTGGTAATAGGGTTAATAACCCAAGAACTGTCCTGCTGACAGAAGTTCTTTTGGGTGAAGTAGGTTACCAAAACATTAAATATACCTCTTTAAGATATCTTACCATAAGTAAAACCTGAAAAGAAACAATGTAATTTAGCAGCTTGCAACATTATTAAATTAACTTTCATTAATACTTAGAATTCCTTAATTATACATGTATTAAGACTTAATATCTTGGATGCCATCCAAGCATAAATCAGAAAACTATAAATGTTGGATTGTACCATAACAATCCTATCAGTAGTATTGTGATAATCATGTCAATTCATCCTTTTTTTTGTAATTAACTCTGATATTATCATGGTTTAATATTATCATATTAATTATTAATGTGGGTTTAAGGAATAACAAAAATATTTTTGTAATCCCATTTATTTGACTATGGATGAATCACTGTTGCACAGAGGATTGATGTTAAATACAGATAAGTTCATTTTTTATAAGAAATAACTTTTTAAATTTGTGACTCGCACGGTTAGTTGATCTGGGAATTGAAATTAATGTACAAGATTATTCTTGTTAAACCTTAATTCGTGATGCACTATTGTTTTGTGTGTGTGTTAATGTTTTTTCTCATATTAAACATTTATATTATTTTGCATGATCAATTAACCTTTCTGGGCTAGCTTGTTATCATGATTTTACATATTTGTTCTGGACATACATGTACTTGGGATTTTATGTGTTTGAAACAATTAGAATTTTGATTTTTTAGTTATGTAAGCATATTTTTATGTAATATACTGACAATTTCATGAATCTTTGGTTGTGTATTAATGAAATTATTTATTAATATGCTTGGAAATAGTGATTGACAATTAGTCATTAAAAAGTCTTCTAATTATGGTTCCATGATGTACCATATCTTGGCAGCTTAGGAGTTGAAACATCTTATACTTTGTTAAACTTGTACATCATGATTTTGTTTCCATCCATTATTTGTACCTTTATATTATTTTTTTGATAAGCTCATTGTCCTCATTTTATGTACTTGACCTACCTGCATCACTAATGGTTGTTGCATTGAGGACAGTTTAAAAAAAAAAGTAAAAATGGGATTGAAAAAGTAAGTAAAAAAATACAGTTTTTGACACTTTTCACTTGTGATATAACAGTGCATGTAATAATGTTTGTCATTCAAATGCATTTTGCTAACATAGCTGAAAGTTTATTAGATAAACATATTATTACCTGTTGAAAGAACACAGTTTCAAATCAAAATTTCTGACAACTCTCTTCTAGAGGCTGCTGTAGGAGTAATTCTTCCTGGAGAATTGGATCCAAAAGAGCGAATAAGATTTGAGCAGATTTTGTCAGAGCTAACAGTTTTTGAAGAAGAACCCAAATCTAAGTTGTTTAAAACTGTATCGGAAGAAGAAAGACTTAGTCACAAGATCTCTCGTGGAATTGTTGCAGGTGAAAGCTGGATATGTATGGTTTTATTCTCTTAATGATGTGTAATATTTTCTGCACCTCAAATGTAATTGTAATCAATATAAGCTATAATAATAAGTGAAAAGTAAAGATATTACAAATATTCTGAAATAAAATGACTGATGATTAAAGATGTTTAGTTTTTGGTTAGATTTGCACAATAAATGTATCTACATACAGTAGAGTTATTGATCTCTGGTTTGAATAGTTAAAATTGGTTTACATTTAACTTTAATATTATGCAACTTAGCAATTTCTTGTTGTAGTGGGTGCATCTTAATTTTTGAAATTTGTAGAATGTACAGAGTCGTTTGTAAAAAGTTTAAACTATAAAGGTACCTTTTTGAACAAGAGTAGTAAAGCAGAAAATATGTAAAATATTAAGATTTATTTAACAACAAATTTCACTGTTAAGAGTAAAGTATGTGCCATTTTGATACATACATTTCTTATTGTAGAGTTAATATTTCTTTAGAAACCTGAATGCTTGCTTCAAACTCTGAACATTAGTATGAACATTTTCCATACATCACTCTTATATAT